CTAAAGAATTTCTGACTTGGACAACGAAAGCGTATATTTTCGTTTTAGTTTAACTTGCATTAGCGATTCTTATTCTCAAACCGGAAGTCAGATGTGTTCTTTTACAAAAGATAAGTAGATTTGTGGGACAGTAAGCTTCAGATTGATAATTGCATAGAAAAAAAAAACACGTAACGAATTCAAGCAAAATAAGTAAGTAAAAAGGTCAAAAATAACAAAAACGTCATGGTGATATTTACAAAGCCTTGAGTTTTTTTTCATTTCACCAATTATAATTGTTAATGCCATTTCCATCCCTACTACAGCGTTTGTCAGTTTGAAATGGATGGGCCAGACTTATTTTATTATGAGGTAAATTTAACGCCTACATATTTTATATGGCGATATTCCGTCTTAATTACAAACAAGACGGATATAAGAGGTGTTTTGATGAATTACACCTGGTTTTACCCTGATTAATAATATTAAATCTAATCTTTATGATTTATATTAGCTGATTAATTGCGGATATTAAACCTTGTTCAAATTTACTTCAGTTACTATACTTGTGGAAGTATTGACTGGATGATAAAAGGAAACTGATAAAGACATCAGTTATGACATGTATGGTAAATATGATAAGCTAACTTCATTTTCAGATTTTCCACCATTAAAGACAACTCAATTTATGGCACTAAGGTCTTCAGTAATCACTTTACTTTATATAATTAACGTTTGTCAATTTAGAACACCTCAAAGAATAATTCCTTTTAATCTCTAATCTAATATATCTATTGGTTCTTTCCTAGAGATTCCCAGACAAAAGCACGAAGAGCTTAAAAAGGTGAAATATGAACTTAACCGAACATATTGCTTTGTTTGAGATGGTTTAAAACGAAATTCTTGTTCTTTCCAACTCAGCATTTGTTGATCGTTTATCTTCATTCCTTGATTTAACAGTTTGAGTAAGATTTCATGGAAGCATAAACGACAGTAAATTTATTTCAATTTACCGAATTGCCACGTAATCAACTATTCTGCACGTTGATCACGTTTAGAGACAAATCTCTATCGGCGATGTCATTTGTGACTCATAATACTTACACTTATTGTGAAGGTCGAGTGCAAGAAATCAAATTGGAAAATGGAATTTGATCAATATTTGAATTCTGGGGTTGGAGGTCGTGTCACGTCTACTTTGACAGAATTGCTGTTGATCTGGTGACACTGAACTGACAAATGCAATTTGATCAAGACCTACATTAGCAAGATCATTCAACATAAGTAACGGCAAATTTTGTCAGTCGTACTAATGAACTCAATGCAGAATGATTATATTAACATGCAAGAAAGTTCAGAAGACGTCATTAACAAAAACGTCGGTAGACAATATTACCATAAAGTAAAGGATTTCAGGCAAGGCGATTGTGGAGCTTTTTATCCCGCACTACTGGCAATGAGCATACTTTTTACTACGAAACGAAAAACGATTTCGTTTCACTGCTTGAATGTTGAATACTTGACTTGCTATTGAATCCATCGCTGCGGTTCAAAATGTTCATTTTTACTGCCAAGGGGTAACTTTAAAACGTATCATTTTGAAAACAATTACACAAAATTGGGTCTAGTCTATTTTCATGATTTCATTTGGTACGCTTACCATTATTGAGATTTGTAGTATAACGCAATAGATATATATAGGTTTGCCATGATGAAATGGCTTCAAGATTTATTGCATGTTACTGAACCTGGGTTCTTAAGTATTATAAACAAAATAGTGAAACAATTCTCAGAGAAGGTAGAAAGAGTTGAGAAGAATGCCATAAATAATGTCGTAGACTGATTAACAAGTGAAAACTGCCCGTTTCTGTTGATCTGAAATGATATGGAACTCTGTTGAACCAGGAATAATAAATAATATATATCACAGTAATTCTAATATCTGGAAGACAATTCTTACAACTATCCATCTTAGTGTCATATGAATAACGATAAAAGATTAATCAAACATATTCAACCCGGCCTTTAATTGACTTTTCTTTTTCCTTGTCACAAATCCATCTCTATTAAGAGGCTCCCACTTTTCATTTTCTGTTGAATTGCAAATCACGATGATCGTCATCTATGTTTTCTGCTAATTAGATATCATTTTGACATAAAGCCATAGAGATATACTTATCATTTTAAATATACATAATTATAGATCATTTGTCGGTTGCAGGTTGAAAAGAGCTTCCACTACATGTAAAGCACACTGCATGACATTGTACGTGTTTTACCAGCCCATTTAGAAGAAACGTCATTCGATTTTATGTTCAGTTTCCTCAACGATGTTTTCCTTCAGCTGAGTCAGCTGCTATTAATGTGTGTCTTTGAAATTGTACAGTTCGTAATCAGCTGCTATTAATATCTTCTTTGATATTGTACAGTTCATAATCAGGTGCTATTAATATGTTTCTTTGATATTGTACAGTTCATAATCAGCTGCTATTTATGTGTTTTTTGATATTGTAAGTTCAGAATCAGCTGCTATTTATGTGTTTTTTGATACTGTAAGTTTAAAATTAGCTGCTATTTATGTGTTTTTGATATTGTAAGTTCAGAATCAGCTGCTATTTATGTGTTTTTTGATACTGTAAGTTCAGAATCAGCTACTATTGCTGTGTCTTTTATCGAGTTTATTATGGTTCAAGAAGATAGTTTAAATTGTAATTGTCTATTCCCTTACCACGAATGGTCCTTAATTCATCTTTTTAAACATTATAAATACATATATTAGTTCATACACTTATGATAAAGATCAAATTAACTTCGCATGTCTTTTGCGGTTGAAAGATTCATGTTGGACGGACTTTTTTTTATGTATTGTCTACTGGTCCATTATGAAAGTGCAAGTCCGGGTCTTGTTCACTAAAAACTAAGATCTCAACAAAGCCCATTCAATAATAGCAAAGATCTCAACAAAACCCGTTCAATAATATCAAACGTATCAATAAAGCCCGTTCAATAATAGGAAAGGTATCAATAAAGTTGCCTTTTTATATCTACATTTTAGATACTTTTCACACGTCGATAGTGAATAATTGGTCGTAAAGTACCTTTATATAAACATAAAATTTACGCACCATCTGCCCTTTCTCACTATTTCTAAAAGAGTGAAATAATGTGAATACTGCAGACAGTGTGATTCTATAGACCTGTTATTACATTTCTATATAGTCCATTAGCTTAATCATTTCATTTTCATGACACTCGGAAATAGAAGACGTGTGATAATATTTATATTTAATATATCTTTCTATTGTAATAAGCGTTTATAATTTGGAATCTATCTATTCTAGTTGAATGATAACCAAGAAGCCATGAGTTATGTCATTGTAATTTGCTGCCTGTGACAACAATTGAAACTGGTAGTTATTCAGCTGTGTAACCATTAGGCATTTGGTAGTCATGCCAGTGTTGCTTGCTATAAATATGGTCATTTTTTTTACCTTTGTATAGTTGTTGATCATTATGAATCCTTTTTATAGTCGCAACATGAGAACGGGCCGTTCATGGATTGTTTCTAACATATTTTTCACTTGTTTAAAATCTAAAATGCGTCTTGTCGCTGTCAATTCTGATTAATTTTCCCATTGCGTATGGCCGCTGTTGATAGATGTCAATGCTTTGAAAAATAACGAGTTACGTTCATTACTCGTGTCATATACTGCTTTCAGTAAAATACAATTATTCATTTTCACTGATATTGTCATGTAATTATCTAGAGCTCTATTTAGCTCTGTCTTTAATGTTTCATTCATCAAATTGTCATTTTGTTACATTAGTTTGAAACTTGTGATTGATAAGAACGGGAGAAAAGTAATTATTATTTCTTCAAGAAGAGGAATGTCTTTTTGATTTCCTACCAGAAAAATGAATTGATTTTCCCAAATTACCCAATTAATTGATGTGCTCGAAAAAATAGGTCGTTCATAATGCTTCCGAATTTTGTAAAAATTCTGACTACTGTTCTTAATTTGCATGAAAAACAACCAGATGAATGCACAATTATGTAAACAAAGGCTTGAGAAAATACCAAAATATAAAACCTTTTATATATAAAAAATATTTTCCTCAACAAATTAAATTGTACATACTCCAGTAAATCCAAGAAACAAAGGAAAAATAAACTTCAGAATACAAAATCAGTACACAAATGTCTTTTAAAATGTAAAATCGTTATGAAAAGGGAGCTTTCTGCTCCTTCAAAAACATTAAGTATGTCAATAGGTATTTTCAACTGACGAGGGTCCTTTGATTATTGTCCTATCTGAATATCTAGACGCTTTTTCCATGTCGGCTCATCCGACCTGCATCACTGACAAGGAAGCCTCTCTGTATAAACTTAATGTTTCCCCACTAAATTGTTTGCCCCAAAATCAAGCATTTTTTGTAGTTTTACTCTCTATATTGTCCTGGAGCTATACAGTTTGGAAGGTTTTATGTTTCCATAATTCTGTGTTCGTCTGGACAGGTCTTCTGAAGTACCACAAGGGTATTTATATTCAAGCGTCAATTTCATATCCTCTTTCAAAGGCATATCCAACCCACATAAAGTTATTTTTAACAATCCTATTTTTTAATTTCAGATTGAAAGCATTGAGAGGATATTTGATAAAGTTAAACTTTGAACTGGATTATATCATGTCTGCTTGATCTTTGGATTGAAGATTAAACTGGAATTCCAGAAGGAGAGTTAAACGAGATATTCGGAAATTGTCTGAGGAGAAGTAATCGGCAAATTGAATCAATAAAAAATGGTTATATTTTGAAAAAAGATGTTAAAATTCTGATTGAAATCAGATGAAATTCTCGTGTCTGAATATAGACTATTGAGAATGAGAAGATAATATAACGCTTACGACATCAGGGAATCAAAGCCTAAATTTACATCGTCATTTTTTAATGTTTTCGTGATACACGAGGCCATCACTCTAAAATACAAAATGTCGTTTGACGTTCAGTATGGGAATTATTCGATGATCGAAAATGTAACTGATTTAGATTGTGATTTTTGTAATAGTACCACAGCTTCAAATATTACCGGAAGTGATGACCAAATATCAGACATACTAAAGATCATACCTATAGTTTTGGTACTATGTTATGTGATCGTTCTGTTCGTTGGATGGATTGGGAATGGCTTGGTGATATATGTAGTTGCTAGGTTCAGTAAAATGAAAACTGTGACTAATATGTATGTTCTAAATCTAGCCGTGTCTGATGTGATGTTTATTTTCAGTTTACCATTTTTAACAACTACGACCCTGTTAGGATACTGGGTATTTGATTTCGTAATGTGTAAAATCTATTTTGTTCTGTACTCAATCAATGTATTTACTAGTGTGTTTACATTAACTGTGATGAGTGCTGACAGATATCTTGCTGTTTGCCATCCGGTTAGATCGGTAAAATATCGAACCCCCCGTATTGCTCTATTTGTGTGCCTGTGTATCTGGACTATATCATTTTTAGTGATGCTTCCTATTATACTTTATTCAACAACTGTTCCACATCGTCTCTACCCAGATAAACATACCTGTACCATTAAATGGCCTAATGGTCAGCTAATACCGGCAGGCCAGGCGTTTATTTGGTATACATTTTTACTTGGTTTTGCTATTCCCGTGTCTTTAACGTCGGTTTTCTACTTTCTTGTAGTTTTGCGTCTAAAAACCGTTGGCCCCGTCAAAAAATCTAAAGAGAAAAAGAAATCACACAGACGTGTAACAAGGATGGTACTTTCCGTCATTTCTGCCTATGTAGTATGCTGGCTACCATATTGGTTATTTCAAGTATATATTATTGTAAGGGAGCCACCAGTGCTAGTTCCATGGAAGGTTATACTATTTAACTCCTTTACAGTACTAACCTATACAAATAGCATGTTAAACCCCTTTCTCTATGCATTTTTAAGTGAGAATTTTAGGAAAAGTTTCATGAAAGCCTTCAAATGTGTTTCACCAACTGACGCCAACAAATCTCTATGTCATGAAAACAGTATGTTTCCAAAAAATAATCAGAATTTTGGACGATCTGTCGTGACAACGATAGAGGATCGACTGGAAATGTCAACATTCGAACCAGGCCAAAATAACATTGATGCGACACCAATGCTTCCTAAGGAAAACCACTTAACTACGACAACATTACCGGATGAACAATGTTTATTGAAACCGGTGGCTCTGTAGTTATAACTGCATGCATTGATACCGCATGCACTAATGGAATTATCTCACGCTTCAACCGAGTTTGCGGATGGATGAGTATTGCTTTCCAGATACAACATGGGTTGCAACCGGTTACGTCATACTGTTTAGATGAATGTTTCGGTGACTCATTATATGACAAGATGGAATATGTTAATGGAAGGAACTTTAAGTATATTCCTCATACTCGTGGAAACATATAAATATGATGAAATTAGAAAGGATTATGTACTTACTTAACACATACAAAAGATACTATAAATTGGTTTTGTTGGAATTAGATGCTTTACGCTTAAGGCGCTTTGAAACTGAAGTTCTTTTATGTCAAACGGATGAGGATGTTATTTTGACAAATTATTTATGGAGAAGGCTTCCCCTAAGAGATTTAAACTATAAATGTGATTATTAAAATGACATTTATGTCTACCGCATTCAGTTGCACTGATAGTGTTCACACATGTTGTATTATACCGTAATGTAATAATAGGATATGTGAAGTAGGTTTTCTATCCCCCTTCGTCCTTGATTATTTTGCAAATTTAATACTTAAAAATATGGTGACATTGTGTGTTTATATCAAGACGCTGGTTCGCTTAAAGCTATCTTTGTAAAGTAAAGAGTACTTTCATTTAATTTACCGTTCAACTATACCATGAACAAAAACTAGCTAGTTGCGTGAAATTTCAATGTGAGATTAACATAGTTTTGGACTTTCCAGATTCATTTCCGAAACGTAAATCTAGCCACTACAAAGATAGCTTTTTGTGAACAAAATCCTTACATAACTTCTTTATCGTTAAATGGAAACTGTTTATTTTTGTAAAACATTATTTATGTTGTGAATAATAGATACTTGTTCTTGTTAAATTGTTTTTTTTTTCTCTAAAAGAAAGCTGGGCTATTATTCAGGATATAATTACGGTTAAAGAGCTGTATAACATGGCCGTATATTCTGAGAACAAAGATATGTGCTTTTTAATACACAAGTATTAAGTTGCCGGGCCATAGAAAATAACTCATTGCTCTCGTGGCATGCTGTAATCAATTGTAGAAAATTCATCCATTCTTCATGTTTATAACATGCAGGAAAAACATTACATGTACCACATGATTATATCATCTGACGATCAAGCGTCAACACTAAGTACTACTCCACTAACTATTTCCATTAGTTTGCAGAATATAAATATAAGGGTATACCGGAGGAGCACGATCCACTTATTTCACAATGGTCAAGGTATAAGGCCTACGAACTTGGACGGAGTTTGTGATACCTTGGCCATTGATTCTTTTAAATAATAAAAGATGAAGTAGAAGTTCTACAGTGGTGTAACCTATTTTCGTGGATATAAGGATTCAACACCGAATTTTGTCAAAGTTAAAAAAACATTTTTTTTTTTATGTCTTAGATGTTTCCTCAGATATTCTACAAAATAATTAAAATTGGTTTATTTCGATTTTCTTTATGAATCCTTCATTTTGACCCATATTTCATGAGCAACCAACTCGGCAACGGCGGCAGAATGCGTCACCTATTTTCGTGTACAATGTTTGAACTATAAATAAGTCTAGAAAAACACGTTGTATGGATACCGGGTGGTATGATTAAATTCTCTTAGTATTTATCTTCAATATCAATTCATTATACCTAGTGACAATTCCTTCAAAGAACCACGATTTAAAAAAAAATAGTGACTGACAAAATAAGATACGTAGCGTAATTCATTGCTAAAAGTCACTGAAAAAACATAAGAATATGGTCCACTTTGTGTTCCATAGAAATTTTCTGCTGACACGGAATCCGCTAGTTGATCACGTGACTTAATTCGTTGGACTACATTCTAGCAGACGACACTCGGAATTCCGATTACGGCTAGGGATTACAAGGAAATTTGGCCAATAAAAAATGGTGACGTTTGGTAATAAGTGAAATCCGCCATTTTGTATTTGTCAAAGTATACATTAATACATTTTACCTTGCTTGAAACTACTGAATTCATTCTACTAGCTGATATTGTACAGCAAAACCCATGTTTATTAAAACAAACTAATGCGGAGGTCGCGCAAGGTCGCTCATGTAAATTATTAATCCATTCCGGAAATCCACGAATAATAGGTTTCCACGAAATTAGGTTACTCGACTGTATATTTAAGATACTCAGTATTACGATTTGATTATCAACTTATGCGTATGCCAATGTCATGACAACTAACTTAAAGATTAGTAAAGCTTTTTTCTAGCTTTTCAAAATATATCGGGTCCATTTATGGCTTTTAATTTCCCTAAATATTTCTGTTAATATGGAACTGCTGTACCGTATATGACGTCACTATTGCAGAAGCTATGCCATAAAACGCGTAGTTATGTGGCATTGTAAGACCCACAAACGTCTTACTGAACAATAGAGGCGGCTCGAATCGATGTTATCATTATCCTCGTAACACATAGAAAGTTTAGAAAATCCGAATATCACAACCGTTAAATTTTAATCATCACTCAAAAATAGAACTGCATGCAATCACGTGACAAATTTCGTTAAATCCTTTTCATGAAAGGTTTTGCATTATTGATGTGTACTTTATTTTTTTAAGCATACCAGAATTAGAGCAGCTTAAACTAATAGTTTAAACCATAGCAATAAAAGACAATGCCTCGAATAGCTGAAACTTAGCACGGATGGATTAACTGTCAATAGTTAAAGGGACATTTTAAAATCATTTATGACCGATGTGTATTTCAATGTGTTGGAAGAAAATTAAACTATTTTTTGACTCCTGCCAAATGGTAAAAAAACCAATGCAAATAAATTAAAATAAAATCATTTAATTGTAAGCAGTCCTCTTCTTATAATGTAAGTATTATGTTTAATGTTGAACAATAGATTTCTAAGGATTCAAGAAAATATTTTCTTTTTTTTTAACTTTAAATTACAAAATCTATCATAGAAATCAGACCTTGATGTCGTGTTTCAAGTAATCATAAAACAATCTTTCTCATCTGGAAATAGTTCTATAGCACCAAGTATACGATTTCCACATATTTATAAGAATTATGAATTATTAGCGATAGAACACGAAAACAGTCCGAAAGTGGAATATTAATATCGACTAACAATATACTCATTGACACGTTCAGAGTAGGATTGAAGTCTGATAATATCTGACTGTCTTAGGCTATAAAGTACATGTTAATCACGTATTAATGTTCTCACAACATATGTCAGTGTTGTAACTCGGTTTCTTTATTAATATTTCAATACACTAATTTGTCTGATTCTCTCGGATCGATTGGTGACATATATCTTTTCTTGATTCTAAACAATTACATTAGAAATTTTCTTAATAAACATCAATTGAATTGTTTTTATTACTGAACACTATACTAGAGACGTTTTTATTTAAGCAAATCATGTCGACACAGATCAGAGTGTACATTTGTATCAGAGAAGCACGCATTTATCTTAAACGATTTGTCAAAGCACTATTGACAACATGTAAAAATCATTTCGAGAACCAGTTCTAAGATTATAGGAATAAAGACAAAAATATTATCTTTTCCAGCGTTTGAAATTTGCTAACGGCAAATAGATTATCAACAACTGGTAACAACTGCTATTTGCTAGAATCTGATCACACGCTGGATAAGGACGACCTTATCGCTCCGCAGACTGAAAAGTACTCAAAAATTGATCTTGTCGAGGACCTAGTGGTCTAGTTAAGGACACGATGAGACGCTTTAAATCGCAACTCGACCTGAGCCCACTTGACACAATGATGAGCAATTACTTCAACTGAATCACCAGATGTCACCCCTAATAGTAATAAATAGGTACACTGACGTACATACATGTAACTATTTACATTCCCAACATAACTAACGCTGCTTTATCCTGTGCCAAAAGTGGAAAGGCCTGTAGGGTTAAAAATATACTTCCTTATGAGGTTCTCAGATAACCAAATATGAAAATAGTTCTTCATATATTACTCAAAACATGCCTTCAGGATGAAATTTTTCCGTCTTTGTGGCGAAGGTCAATCATATCACCTATACTTAAAGACAAATAATCATATTGTCATCTACTACCATGGAATAAGCTTATCGTGTGTGGGCAAACAGAACTATTTTTGGCGGCATCCAACGAAATAGGACGTGTCAGGATTAAGTGTTCGCCGTTAAACATCAACATATTCTAATCAAACAAACAACGTTCTCGATCTTCGTGCATTTCAGAAAGGTGTTTGATCATAGGACTTAATGACATACAAAATCTGAACTAGCACTTAGAAGTTAAATCTGCAATTAAAACATATGTGACCTATGTATTTTGTAAAAAAAGCAAACTGTGCTGTGATCTATCAACGCCACGACATTATAATTTAAACCAGAATCCCGTGAAGATATTGACACGTGACCGCAAGTAAGAAATGAGGTAACCTTTCGTTGTGGGTTGAGCGTAATGCGATTCTGAAACTAGATGAAAGACAATGTTTAATGTGTAGTCATGTCGACGTCGAAGGCAAAACCCGGTAAACTGTTCTGTAAGCCGACCTTGAATGATGTCAACCATCTGGAATATGGTACAAATTTCCAATTGAAATAAGAAGTAAAACAACTTGTATCATTCAAATAAATACAAACTTTAATTATTAATCAAAAGACTCCTTTTATTGGTAATATATGGAATATTCATTGTCAAGAATTAAAATGTATCTAAATTAAGGACTAATAGGTTCAAGAAGTCAGGAAGAATCAATATTCTTCTAATTGTATGTATATAGATATACATGTATTATGTAGTTAAATCTTACACCACACGTCACTTTAACGAAACAAACATTTTCTAATCTTATAAACAATTTCAAATCTATTTCTATCGAAATTCTTTTCAGAATGCACTTATCAGAATCAATTTCGTTTGATAAAATCTTGTTCAAGATAAGATGTGCGGAAAGGTCATAGTCCTAGAAAAAAAGAAGACTGT